AGCTTTGCGCCTTTCCTGGAGCTCACTTGGTAGCCCAGGCTGGCCTCGAACTCACAGAGATCCGCCTGCCTCTGCCTCCTGAGTGCTGGGATTAAAGGCGCGCGCCACCAACGCCCGGCATGTACTCTTTTGTAGATAGATTTGTTTCCAAATATTCGTACACTATCATGATTTTTTTGGTAAAGATAAAGTCAGTGTTATTTTGTGTACTGTTCAGAATTGTGTTGAACACTGAGTTTTTCCCTTTACATATAACCTTTAGAATAGCTTTCCCACAAGGTGTTCTGCTGTTACACAAGATGTTAGGATTCTTGTTGGGGTGTGTTGAGTTTATAGTTTATATTGAAGAGAGCGACATTTAAAAAAATAAATCTTTTATGTGTGTGGTGGTTTTTGCCTGCATGTATGTCTGTGACCCTTGGAGGCTAGAAGAGGGCATTAGGTCACTCTGTGACTGGTGTTACAGATGATTGTTAGTCATCATGTGGGTACTGGGAATTGAACCCATGTCCTCAGGGAGAGCAACAGTGCTCTTAACTCCTGAGCTTACTCTCTAGCTCCTGGAAAGCAACATCTTGATGTTGTCTTCTACTTACCAAGACCATTGCATTTTTACTTACTTGAAAAACTTTTTTTTTTGAGACTAGATCTCTCTATGGAGTCCTGGCTGGCCTGAAATTCACTCTGTAGACCAGCTGGCCTTGGATTCACAGATCTGCCTGCCTCTGCCTCCCGAGTGCTGGTTTTAAAGACCTGTGCCACCATGCCTGGCTTGACTCTTTTTGAAAAAAAAAAAAAAATTATCTTCATCCATAGATTTTTGTTAAATTTACTATATGTTTTTCTTTGTGTCTCCTTTGATTTGTAGTACTATACATATAGTGTGAAATTGTTAGCCATTGATTGCTCATGGCTGTTATACTGGAAAACGATGGGCTTCATGTACTAATTGTGTATTCCAAAAATTTGCTGTAGTATCCTATTTGTTCCTTGAGTTTTTGTTGGTCTAGGAATTTTCTGTTTGGAAAGACTTGTATTTTTAAAAATTTTAATTTTGAGATTATAATACAATTACAGCATTTCCTCCTTCCCTTGCCCCTCTCCAGGCCTTCTCCAGTATTCCCCTCCTGCTCGCCTCCAAATTCATGGCCTCTTATCTCATTAATTGTTATTGCATGCATGTAGCATATATATTCCTACATGTAACCTGTCCAGTCCATGTAATGTGTGTATGTTTTCAGGGCTGACCATTTGGCACTGGACAACTGATAAGTGTGCTCTGCCCTGGGGACGGCCACCTTCTCCTGCTCTTAGCTTGCCTCAGTTACCTTAGTTCTTTGAGTGAGGTAGAGGCTTCATGGGCTTTTCCCGATCCACTTTGGCATGCCTGTTGGTGTTCTCTTTGTTCAGCTTGGGTTTGGGTAATCATGTTGGTGAGACTTTATGAATGTAGCTCCTGATACTAGGAGGAGATACAATCTTTTAACAAACTTCCTCTACCTCTTTCCACCAAAGACTCTTATTTTTATTATTTATTTATTTGTCTTTTGAGATAGGATTTCTCTGTGTCATCCTGGCTGTCCTGGAACTCGCTCTGTAACGCCACCACCACCTGGCTTCTGTGAACCATTTTTTTTAAGATGTATGTATGTATGTATGTATGTATGTATGTATGTATGTATGTATGTATACAGTGTTCTGCTTGCATGTGTCCCTTCAGGCCAGAAGAGGGCACCAGATCTCATTACAGACGGTTGTGAGCCACCATGTGGTTGCTGGGAATTGAACTCAGGACCTCTGGAAGAACAGCCAGTGCTCTTAACCTCTGAGCCATATCTCCAACCCCTCTGTGAACCATTTTTAAGGCATTACAGCCTTCAGAAGTTCACTAGCTTAGCATTTGGCTTTCTGTGCATTTTTCTTTAGGAACTCCAGCTTCACGCAAGACTTGCCTCATTTTCCTTAAGTGATGGGGTAGACCCTGTTCTTTGCTTTGCCCTTCTTTTAGCTCCTCTATATGGCCTTACTACTTTAGAGATCCACTTTACCCCCATCTCTGAGATCCTTCGGTGCTTTTCCTGCATCCTAGGTATCATGTCCCACGAAGGAGCTCAGCAAAGCCACTAAAGTTCCACAGCAGCCTCAGGGCTGTTCTGCATTAACTTCTTCTTAAATCCGAAGTGAACTCTGCCCTGTCCTCCCCCCACTTCCCCCCGAGCCAGGCACATGTAGCACCCTCTTATTTTCGTTTCTTTCATTATCAATTTCCCCTGTGTTTTTTCTCTTAACTGTCTGACTCTTCTCATGGGTTCCAAGGTTTGGGTCCCAGAAAGGGCTTTTTAGCTTCAACCTAACTTGCATATTCTTTTCCTTATAACTTGGCAACTATAAGAGCCAGCACATCCCTCCCATTCTCTGTCTTTTCTACTTTCTTTTCCAAATCAGAGGCTAATGCAGATGCTAGCAAACACATGTCCTTCCCAGGTCATAATTCCTCCTCCATGTGTTCACTCTGAGCAGCCTCAGACACACTTCTTATTACACAATGCAGCAGCCAGGCAACTTCCTGGGCAGCTTGCTGGTCATCTCTTACATGCTGCTCTGGAGGGTATTTGTTCTAGACTACCAACTCTTCTTAGAGAGTCAGGGAACTCACATGGCAGACCCTACTCATTAAGTGAATATGCCAATCCCTACCACATGGCAGAAGACCACCAGCCTGGGATTCCCCCGCCGACATTCCTGCAGGGGCTCCATCTTACTCATAGTTCTCACTGCCTATCTCATGACACATGCAACTTCCACCAGAGCAACAAGGCACACTACCTTAGCACACAGGGAAGGACAGCTGTATCAAAGTCCCCTTCACCCTTAGCCTGGTCAGCCTCAGTTGCAGGCTTTGCTACTGAAATGAATGATAAATGGCGCTGGTTACCACACGAAAAGGTCACGAGCCATGGGCACAACTACCTAGTAGCAGAGCTTTATTAGGAGGAAGAGGGGGTGGGGGAAGACAAAAGAACCAGGCCTGGGAAAGGAGCACATGCAGAAAGAGGGAAATATGGTGGGGAGAAGAAGGAACAGAATGAGAGAAGAACAGAGAGCGAGGGTGGGGTCTGTGTCTGGCTTTTTAAGGCGCAGGTGGGCTTACAGAACTACACCACGCACAGATTATGTGACCAAGCTGCGCATACATAATCACCAGCGCACACTGATGACGTAAGATGCAAGACCCTTTGTCTAGCTCCTGAACTGCGCATGTGTGGTCATGCAGCTGGAGCGCAGCAGAATCCTAACAGCTACCCATTGCCAAGACTGTGAAATCACTCCTCCCAAACTTGTTCCTGTCATTTCCTTATTCTGCTGTGAGTGTATTGTGTGAGACTTTACTACAGAGACATGACACAAAGGTCTGCTCACCAGATAGGGAACCAAGGACAAACCGAAGTAACAATTTTTCCAGTGTCCATCTTGGTGAACCAATGAATCTATTGGGTATACTTAGAAGCGTGTGGCTGAGGGGTCATGTGGAGGAGCAGGGATGACTAAAGGTCTGCAACAACCCGGAAAAGCCCATCCCAGTACAGGTGATGACTTTTGAAAGCTGCATCCCCAAGCACTCTGCGTGGTAGGCCACACCACGGGCAACGGGTCTCCTCTCTGGCAGTTGTTTGCTACTTCTATAAATTTGGGGAGTGTTTCCTCAAAGGGATGAATTTTACCCCCCAAATCTCATGAGCTTCAGCTTCCATACATGAAGGAATGTTGCAACCTAACAGCCTATAAATGGTTTCATTTTTTTTTTTTTAAGATTTAAAAAAGTGTTCTGCCTGCATGCCAGAAGAGGGCGCCAGTTCTCATTACAGATGGTTGGGAGCCTCCATGTGGTTGCTGGGAATTGAACTCAGGACCTCTGGAAGAAAAGCCAGTGCTTCTAACTGCTGAGCCATCTCTCCAGCCCGGTTTCATCTTTTTAAAAATATATTTTATTTTATAGTTTTGTTTTTTTGAAGCAAAGTTTCTCTGTGTAGTCCTGGCTGTCCTGGAATTTGCTCTGTAGACCAGGTTGGCCAAAAACTCACAGAAATCCACCTACCTCTGCCTCCTGAGTGCTGGAATTAAGGCGTGGTGGCCTTTACCTGTTTAACCATTGAGGTAGCACCTGAAGCAGTGCCCACTAGAGAGGCTTATTAGACTCATTAACCACTATTTTCTTTCTAAAGGCTAATGGGAGTTTAGAAAGTTCCAGAATATTTACAAAAATCATTCACGTTGGATGGTTGGTTCTTTATATTCATGTGAATTCTATCAAAATAATAAGTTCCCTCATGCATTGAAAATTTAAACATTGTGAGGAGGAATTTCTAAGCAGGCGCTTGCATGCTAGTGTTAACACTGTTCCAGACATCAGGTGGGAGGACTCTGAGACAGGAAGTAGTAAAGCACCTTAGAAAGAGGATCAGGACAGAGCAGCAGCACATCCCGTGCCCTGGGCCCACAACAAGAGGAGCTGCTACAGGGCTGCTCCCTTCCACGTCCCTCAGTGCTTGTGTTCCCACTTCTGTGTCATGGAAGAGATGTGTGGACCCCAGAGCTGAACGACCCTATTGTCAATCAAGTATGTGCAATGTTTAGGCCTCAGTGAGCTTTGAGGACGTGGCTGTGCACTTCACCCAGGAAGAGTGGGCTTTGCTGGATCCTTCCCAGAAGAGTCTGTACAGAGATGTGATGCAGGAGACCTGCAGGAACCTGGCTGCGATAGGTAAGGATATCATCTCACGTCACTTTGTAAATCAGGGAGCGAATGTCTCTTGGTGTCTGCGCTCTTCTGGCATTTGGACTACTGAAAGGGAAGAATGTGGTGAATAAATCAGGCATTGTTACTATGGACACTAAAGTTAAAAACTCATTTTTTCAGTGATTTCTAATAATTTATCCTAAATTTTCTGGGACTATCTTTAGGAAACAAATGGGAAGAGGAGAATGTTGAAGGCTGTCATAAAATTCCTGGAAGAAATCTAAGGTAATTTGTGTCAAAAACTGAAGCAAAGGTACTTGAAGGAATTTTAACGTCCCATGAAAATTTAAGAAAACAAAAACAGCTTTAAGTTTACCTAAATGCTTTTATTTATACCTAAATTAGCACCTAAATATGTGCTGAATGTTAGCACGCTGATCAGTGTTTACGGAGGGTGTTCTCTTGGAAATGCTAGAATGAACTTGCATCAGTGAATGCTACTGTTCTGGTCATAGCTCTGTAGTACTATTCACACAATTCAGATATGTCAGAAAGCACACACTTTACCTGATTTCAGGAGCAGTGTATGACATAAAACTAATAAGCACTCAGTAGTAAAGCAACCCTCACTAACATAATTATCCTTTTTCAGAAGTTCCATGTTAGAGACCCCTCATGAGAATACAGGAGATGGTCAGGATGAAGAAACCGTGATGTGGATAGCAGATCTCCATACAAGCATGGCAGTTTTTCCCGAACTAACACAATGTGAATCCAATGTGTGTGGAAAGATTTCCATGTGTCCTTCATCTTCTTGTAGGCATGCCACATCTCACTCTCATTATAAATCACATGATCATGAGGAATGTGGAGGCAATCAGTATGACTTGAATTCTCTCACCAGCTTTCAAAGGTGTATGGGAGCTCACACTGGGAATGGGCCTTGTGAATGTGAGGTATGTTTAAAAGCTTTCTGTTTTCCAAATTCATTAGGAATACATCAAGAGGCTCACAGTGGAAAAACACCCTATCGATACAAGGAATGTGGGAAGGCCTCTCTTTATACACACAGAGGAACACACACTATGGGAAAGCTTTATGAATGCAATATATGTGGTAAAGCTTTGAGTTCTTCTACTTCCCTTCAAAGACATGAAATAATTCACACTGAAAGACTCTATGAATGTACATATTGTGGTAAAGGCTTTAAATATCCCAAGTATCTTCGATTACATGAAAGAATTCATACTGGAGAGAAACCCTATGAATGTAAACAGTGTGGTAAAGCCTTTAGATTTCCTGGTGCCTTGCCACTACATGAAAAAATTCATACTGGAGAAAAACCCTATGAATGTAAACAATGTGGTAAAGCCTTTAGATTTCCTGGTTCCTTGCCATTACATGAAAAAATTCATACTGGGGAAAAGCCTTATGAATGTAAACAGTGTGGTAAAGCTTTTAGGCGTCACTATCATCTTCAGTTACATGAAAAAATTCATACTGGAGAAAAACCTTATGAATGTAAACAATGTGGAAAAGCCTTCAGACGGCACAGTCATCTTCAGAGACATGAACGAACTCATGCTCGAGAGAAACCCTATGAGTGTAAATAATGTGCTAAAGCCTTTACACTTCACAGTTATCTTCTGTCACATGAAAGAATTCATACTGGAGAAAACAAATGCTGTGGGTGTAAACAGTGCTGGAAAACCTCTAGGTTTAATGGGTCCTTGCAATTACATGAAATCAATCATATTAGATGCAAACCCTATGAAGTAAACACTGTAGTAAAGCCTTTAGATAGTCACTTCAGCTTCATAAAGAAATGTATACTGGAGAAAGCTGTGTGACTGTGGACATTGTGCTGAGGCTCTTAGATGTTACACTTGGTACTTACAAAAAAAAAAAAAAAAACTCATTCTGGAAGAAAATCCTCTGAATGTAAATAGTATGGCTAAAAGATCACATATCACAGTGTTCTTCAGACATGGGTTCTTCAGATGTAACTCATGGGAGAAAAACCCTATAAATGTAAAATATATGCATATATAAATCCTTTGTATAGAACAGATCTCTTCAGTTCTTTCATACTCAATAAAACCTCTAAGGATGTGAACAGTGTGGTAAAGGCATCATCTGTCACAGTTTCAGAGAGTGTTGTGTGGAGTGATGTGAAAAATATTTACTTACCTCAGATGGGAACCAAAAAATGATTCTTCCAGAGCCCAATTTGTTCTTGTTTTTTTTTTGTTGTTGTTGTTTTTTTTTGACAGGGTTTCTCTATGTAGTTTTAGTGTCTGTCCTAGATCTTGCTCTGTAGACCAGGCTGGCCTCGAACTCACAGAGATCTGCCTGGCTTTGCTAGAATTAAAGGTGTGTGCCACCACTGCCAGGCCCCAGAGCCTAACTTGATAAGCTAATGATTTTATTAGGGTTACTTATAGGATCATGGAGAACTCTCAAGCAGACACATCACCAAACCACCCATGCCAGCTTGAGTGTTGATTACAGCCCTGTAAACCTGCACAACTTGAAGGCCACTTGGCTGTTCAGAAAGCCTCTTCTCTTGGTAGTTGTTAACTGTTCCATAATCTTGGGGAGGTACTCTGAATGTTTTAAGCTTTAGCTTCTGGGACTTACAAGTTAATTTGTTTACTTCCTGAATCCAATGCTTCCTCTTCCTTCCTAGGAGAATGTTTCAATTCAGAGGATATGGCTGGACAGCAAGTCACCCCTTCCTGTGACTCTTAACTTTTTTTTAAATTATTTTTTGAGCTTTGGACGGGGTGGTATCGATGTCAGAAACTTGACTGGTGCTTGTGAGTCTCCGAGGTGCACCATCATTTTTAAAGGACGTTTGCTCCCAGGATGAACTGAGAAAACACTAGCAGTGGTCCATGTGCATAATCGTGGGCATTTATGAGGCACTTTGTCAGACACGTCACTTCCATCCATTAAAACAGCAGCAGTTGCTTTGTAGCTGACGCCTGTGAAGTCTCCAGCCATAGGCCTTTGTCCTGGCTTATGGTACCAGACATGAATTTCCTCCTGTAGAGTTTCATTCAGTCCAATGGGAAAGCTTGTTCTTGTACCCATAGTAGTCATGCCATTTTTGCACCGGCAAGCAGAGCGTGCCTAGCTTTTTGGCACCATAACACACAGGTTCTATAGCTGAGCAACACTGTTAGTGAAAATTCATTCTCTGCAACCTGCATAACACTCGTCACTAGGGAAGGTAGTCAGGACTGCTTGCTTAGTTCCATGCTGTTTTTTCATGTCCCCTGTGGGAGACCAGCTCCTGCCTTCTCCAGGGTCCCTGTGAGGAGGAGAGAGGGATAAGATAGACAGAAAGATCGTGAAGAGGAGAAAGACAGAAACACAGGATAGCTTCGGGGGGAACTGAGTCAAAACCCAATGGCCCCTTCTTCAAAGGGCTTTTTGTAACCATGCCAAGGGGCAGAGCAAAAGACCTCCCCCTTGCTAGATCAAAGCACACTGCACAGCCAAGTGTAGACCCTTCTAAACACCTCGTAACGATGCCCATGGTCAATCATCCCCCTATGCAGCCCTGCTGGGTAAAGCAAGCTCAGATTCTCGGACCCTGAGGAAGTTCTCACTAGGAAACCTCTGTGGGTCTCTATAGTCCTCTGCCAAAGTGCTTGTTATCTTCAGCATTAGGGTGTTATCCTCTTATTTCTGGCATATAACCAAGAGCAATGGCAATATGGTTTGTGGGGCCTCAGGATCCTCCTTGGCCAACAATTCATATTGAGGTGGCACACCCTTAACAGTGAGATAGTCACTTAACAACCTTATGGGCTTTGTGTCAGTAGGGTACGTCCTGTACTTAAGCAGCTAAAAAACTGCTGTTTTACTGTCCCATTAAAAAAAAAGTTAGCCAGGCACTGGTGGCACCTTCCTTTAATTCCAGCACTTGGATGGCAGAGGCAGGTGGATCTCTGTGAGTTTGAGGCCAGCCTGGTCTACAGAGCGAGTTCCAGGATAGGCTCCAAAGCTATCACAGAGAAACCCTGTCTTGGAAAAAAAAAATTAGCCTTGTCCCAGTATCTTTTTTGCCATGGGCCACAGCAAAAATATGATGTAGAAATTCAGCTGTTTATGACAAGCTAATACTTAGAAGAAGCTAAGGGCCTTCCAGAGAAATAAGCCAAATCTCAGGGAGTATCTGGTATTATTCAGCTTTTAATATATCAGTTTCCTGCTATGAATTTCTCTTGCACTCTCTCATAATTTCCCCAAGAATGGTGTGGATAAATCATTAGATACTTGAATAAAGGCAGGTAGGCAAGGTCTACTGCTTCTAGACCCTCAGCTCCTCCTTTAGCATTTGAATTGGACGTCTGCCTTCTGCAATTTCCCTTTAGCAAGCATCCAAGGACAAGCATAAAAGCTGGTCAGACCACCTGTTAGGTGCCCGAGACCCCTGAATTAAGGTAAACACCCTGTGGAGACACCGATTGGCTTTAACCATGAGTTAGGTGCATAGCTTTGCTTCCTATGCAAACCAAGCTCAGATCCCCTCCTCTCACAGCCCTAGAGCAATTTCCTAGAACAAAAAGGTTTTCTTCATACCAGGTGCTTCAGGCTATGTGACAAGTTACCTAGCTATCGAGTAGTCCTCCCCTGCTCTGCCAGAAACAGTGGCATAGAAAAATAAGGCAGTTTTATTTTAGTGACTTATAGCTTCTTTCACCTAACCACCTGGAAGACTGTAGGCGAGCGCATTTATGATAGACTCGTAATGTTTCACTTAACCACTGGCAAGAATATATTTTGAGCACAAGAATCCTTTTCTGATTTGTTCCAGCCCTTATCTGACTCTACTTCTATTTACTCCCCTTTTGGATTGCAAATGAAGTTGACCATGGTGGCTCTGGTGGGGACCTTGAAAGTCTTGTATTGAATTGTAAACATAAGAGCGTTGCTGTTTTGGGGAGATATAGACTGGTTCCCCAAGAGGACTGGGCAGAATTAGGTGGCAGAGGAATAAAGCAGATGGACAAAGAGCTCTGTGTATTTAGATTCTTTTCCCATAAATCACTCACACTGTTAGTAGTGTCTCTTCTGGGCCCCTGGGAAGGAGATTATTAGGGCTGGACCGTAATAATTTCCATTACTTTAAGGTAGGTGAAAGTACCATTGCCTCTGGTTATCTTTAGTCCAGGTCTGTGCATCAGTGTTAGTGGAATTACTACCTCATTCACTGTCAGTTTTCTGTGGGCACTTATCCCATTCCCTTATGGGATAAGTTGGCTTATGTATGTGTCCTTTCAGAGCCTCTATCTGCCAAGGCCTCTATCGGGAACAGGCCTCACATGTGAGTATCCTCACTTTCTGCTTTGTGACCTGGATATAGAGATGTCTGGAGAAAAAGCACTGTTTCTGCTTGCATGTGTTTGCTTATGGCTGCTGAGTGTGCCTATTGTGGCAGCTGCTGCTGTGACTGTTCCAGTCCTCGGGGACATCAGACTGCAGCCCCTTTGGTATTTCAGTTTACTGAACAGCAACAATTCTAGGGATTTTCCAGGCCTTCACTGCCAAAATGGGATTAATGGGCATCATCAAGCTTCATGGACTGAGCAGCTACTGGGTTCTCAGGCTTTCCATTGTGCACATGGCCTTTGTTGGACGGCTCAGCCCCACTGTGTTAGTTCACACACTGAATTCTCTTTCATTACATACATACATTCTGTCCTGTCTCTGGTATAGTTTGTAGTAAAGAAGGGTTGAGAAAAAAAAACCCAGTTGGTGGCTGGCCATGTAACTTTTGGGGCACGTTTCTCTGTATCATGCACTAACTCCTGGGTTTAATTCCATGGACTACACGATACTGGACAGGAGAAATAAATGCGCTCAAGAAAAATACTTTTCTAAGTGCCTGCTATGAGGGGATTTAAATCTCAAACAAATGGATTATTTGTGAAAATACAGGTGTCTTCAGAACATTTAGCATATTTTCCTGTTTCACATAGGGATTTTTTCATTGAGTCTTACAATTCTTAACAATTCTGTTAAGAATGACACTTTCTACATTTTAGGTAGAGAAAGGAAAGATAGATTTAATCTCAATGTGCCAATGATGATAAAGGAGGCAAAAACAAAATACCTGGAAGGTCACAGAATAGACTGATAACACTGGAGAAGAACAAAGGACCTTGACCTATTATATTTTTATGTGTATGTGTGTCTGTTCCAATGTGCACCATATGTGTGCAGTTGTCCATTGTTATGGCTGTTCTTGATTGTCAACTTCCTACACCTGGAATTAACTAAACCTCCAAAATGGCTCTGCATACCTGTGAGGAATTTTTTGCTTACCTGGATTGTTTTTAGTGGGAAGATCCACTCTAATCCAGATCTGGAGGTGGGAAGACACAGCTTTAATCTGGATCTCTGATTTGGCCCATGCCTTCTGCTGGAAGCCTACACAAGGACATGGAAGAAGGAAACTTCCGCTCTTTGCCGCTTACCCCCACTTCCCTAGAGTTCACTCCTTCATTGGCATTAGAGCTATTTCTTCCGGATTCCAGCATATACTGAACAGTGTCGTGGGGTATTCACCAGAGAAGACTGCTCAGAGATGACTTTAAGACAATAGAAAGTCTTTGTTAGCTGGCAGGTGATTACACTGGGTGTTCAGAATCCCAGTGTAGCACTTAGCCTTACCAGGATGAGCTTTTGATTGCAAAAACCATGTTGTAGGTTGACAGACTTCAGTTGACAAGAACAACTAGCCAGAAGCAGAACTACAGAAGTCAAAAAACAAGGTTAGTCATTTAGAGACTTCCCAGAACTATGGGCTTTGATGGATTAGGTCTTTGTTTTAATTTTGGCAGGTGGTGCAGTGTATGTGCTGAGTTTTACAGTCTGAATGATACTTCCATCATGGAGTCATTTGTGCTAAGGTCTTAGGGCCTACTAAGGTCTGGTCCCTTTTACAAAAACCAGCTGAGACATCCGGCTTCATAGATTGAATAACTACTGGATTCTTGGACCTTCCTTACATAGGCAGCCATTGTGGATTAGCTGGATTAGCCTGTTAGTCATTCTAATTGTAGAGGGCCCCAAAACAACTTGACCACACAGCTGCCATGA